AAGAAGTCTACATTAAGGTCTCCAACTACAACAATTTTAGTGGATTAATGTCAGAAGCCTTTTCTATAGACCACATAAGTTTATTCCAAAAGGATTTATCACTGTTTGGTGGGCGATATACACAACACAGTAGAAAGTTACAGGTAGGTTCGCACACTTCTAACCAGATACATTCTATTGTAGTGGGTTCAAGGTCATCGCGTCTGGTAACTCGAAGAGATTCAGAAATATAAACAAGAAATCCTCCTCCATAAGAATTCCTGTCTCTTCGAAAAATTGTATTAAAGCCCTCAATTGAGATATCGCTATTATTTATACTACCGTCTAAATGTGTTTCTGTGAAGCATAAAATATCGAAGTCAGTGACAAACGTTGTCAAACTTTCAGTTTTGTTTCTAATGCTCCTAATGCTAAGGTGAAAAATATCTAAACTATGAATAGGAACACCATTTGGACCGGGATTAGTTTCGATGTCGCCAGATAATAAAAGTAGTAAATGAATAACTTGTAAGCAAAAATGTACATGACCAAAGTTTTTCATACCCTTTTTAGTTATACATTTAAACATTTGCAAATAATTTTTGTACGCATGGAATAAAAGCGAAAGTAAGATCCGAAGATCAAAAAGACAGAATAGCATTGATTTGATAATACAACTATTTTTGAGATAATAGATTCCTATTGCGGCTCGATATTGCAATAGTGTATTACCTGTCATTAGCTTTTGTAAGTTTCACACAATCAAAAGACTTAAATTGAAGGAGCCGCTTGTAATGACAACTGTCAGAATGCTTATAATACATGTGAAATAAACTGTGACCAATATAAGTAGGAAAAAATGAATAATAAAACAAAAACAAAGAACAAAAACCCTTCATATATGTCAAAATAATAAATTTGAACATTAGTGAAGGAAACAAAATAAAAATTGTGAACAAGTATAAGGAAAATGACACCTCTATGTCGCTAGGCAAAACAAGGCGCATAGTGAGAGAAGCGTTGTTATAAAACAATGTAAATAAATGTACTATGTACACGATTTTCCAAAAAACAGTAATCATACTGTTATTGTAAAGGGAGAGTTTAAAGGTAAATCAGAAATATCTTAGATATAACTTATAGTGATATAAATTAATTGTTTGCTAAGAGTATACTTTAGTTTGCAGGTGTTCAAATGTTGTCGCCCCAGCAATTTTTAAAGGTATTTTAAAGCAAAGATACCACCTCTTTTCAAGGGCCTAACTAAAGAAGAATACACTGTACGTCTCAGGAAGCCGTACCATAGGCCAATTTTAAAGTGACAGTACGACGCATCTCATCAAAAAACTGACTTGATAAAATTTTTCGACAAGATTTGGAATTTTTCTACTGCTCATAAATGTATAAACTTTCAGAAAATTACAACTTTCACAATTAAATAATTTTGATTATTTCATTAAAATTAATAGTTGTTTATGGGACATAAATATATATATCGCAACGTGTTCGGGGTTCCACATTCCATGCTATGCACGCATGCGTAGTTTTCATAAACAAAACAGCATGTTAATTTTGTATGAGGAGAGAATATTTCTGTTTCTCAAACTGCTTACATCAACTTTATACCTTATTTCTTAAAGGTGCTTGGACACAGATTTGAAGTTAATATTTTCTCAAATTTTCTGTATAATTTCATGACTTATATGTTGCTTTAGCATTTCATACTAAAATATAATAAAAATCTTATTTCATCTCGAAGTTATTAAAACTTCGAATTTCTGGACGCGTTGGATTGACACATCCTTGCGCTTTCACATATTTTAATTTTATTCTTAATACTTAAGAAAAGTGGCGATTTTGTTGTGTATTAATGAAAAATATTAAAACTATAACACAGAAAATTCAGAGTAGAAATGTTCGAAAGCAAAACCCACTCACAGTATTGTAAGTCCGTGCTCAGTGGTGTGTGCAGAGTTTAACAATTGAACACACCCGGTGAATCGTAAACATTAACAATAACAGAGCTCGTGCCCTGTTTACAAAAACAGTTTACGTTTCACGGGTGTGTTCAATTTGTTATAGTCTATACACATCACAGAGCACGGACTGACAATACTGGTGAGTTGGTTTTGCTTTCGAACATTTCTACTCTGAATTTTCTGGATTATAGATGTAATGTTTTGCATTTATACATAACAAAATCGCTTCTTTTCTTAAATATTAAGGATAAAGTTAAAATTTGTGTAAGTGCAAAGATGTGTTAATCAAACGCGTCCCGGAATTCTTAGTTCCAATAATTTCCAGATAAAATAAATTTTTAATTATATTTTCGTGTGAAATGCTATTGCAATATATAAGTCTTGATATCATACAGAAAATTTGAGAAAATATTAAGTTCAAATCTGTGTCTAAGCACCTTTAATGATATATTGGGTATTTGAATGAAAAAGCACAGTTTTTGCAGCCGAACTGTCGCTTTAAAGATTTCAACACTATTTTGAAAGAGTGTATATGTATAAACAATATTTAATCTAACCAAACCATATCTAATTTATTAAAGTTTCATATATCTAATGTTATAGTCACGAAGTTTACCCCATAAATAAAAGGAATGAGGAAACGACATCTGAAGTATATTTATCAAGATGAAATAATTATACAGAGACATATTTACAACTCCTGTGGTCCTATAGTATAAAATATAGTAAAAATAGGATCAATAGGAACTGCTTATTAGATCGAAACGAATGAAATGCAGTGAAATTTATTGAAATGCATACACAAGGTTGGCACCTCACCTGCTCATGAGGCAGGCTTTGCCATGCTAACTATGTACGTTAATTTTAGAAGACACATTTGTAAATACCATCGAAACACTCTTTAGTCATGGTATATTTAATTCACGATATATTTCAAGAGTGTAACTTATAAGTTAAATATATATAATAAGATTGATACGTCGCCGTTGTTTTATAACACGAACTGACCCTCTGTGGCCACATGTTGTGGGTGCCATATGAGAGTAAAACAAAAGCCGCCGTTCTGATAAAAAAAAAAAAAAAAAAAAAAAAAAAAAAAAACGGATTTTGATGAAATTTTATTTTATCAAGTTGATAAACAAAAAAATATTTGAATAATCTTATTAAAAAAACTTTTCAGTTGGCACGATTTAAGTGGGTCGGTCGCGTTAGGGGAAACAAAGCTATTTTTTATTTTGGCCTAAAAGGGTCAATAATTAGATAAAAACCGCCTTACGATTTGCAGATCTTTATTTCTCGCTGGGTCGGACAGTATCAGGGACAGCGTCCTGATTCCAGCTCCCCGAATGTTAACAGAATTTTGTTTTTATAGACAAGATTGATAATTGACAAACTTGAGTAACATAAGTTATTTGATCTACAAGTAGAGTTAAATATTATATTTTTAAATATAGAGTTAATAGAGTTAAATATTATATTATATAATTAAATATATTATATTTTTAAATAAACAACTCAAATCACTCAAAGCACAGTCCATCTGGTAATATCACTCATGGCTAATTCTCACAATTAAATATTTTATGATAGATAGATCTGGCAGATTGAGGCGATTAAAGCATTTCATTAATTACAATAACAATTGCGTAGAAATTAATAATGAAAAATATCAAAGTAAATGTGAAAATGTCGAATGGTACATTTTCATCTGTGACAGTACAGGGCATCATATACAATGATCATACTTTTTACCCCGCATTATAGCACAAACATGCGATTCCTTAGGAGGATTAAGACATTCCAATTGAATTTTAAGTGACCGTCAAAAGAATTGATACTCGTTAGGTGTAAATGCCTCAGGACCTGTTAATCTTATATATCAATAACTTCGATTATATAATTATTTAGCAATGCCTTTTATGTCCATTCTGTTAAAGAAACACACCTGCCCATCAATTAATTCAGCCAGTGTCATAATGCAGTTATTGTTTTTTCTCTATCTAACAAAAACTATGTCCATTATATCTTCTTCAGTTTGGGGGCCCGATGCTCTACAGGCCACATCCAACTCGGTTAAGACTTGTAAGCTATTGTTGAAATTCATGTTCATTGTTATTTACCATCGTGTTTAGTTCTTGGACTTTATAATGGAAGTCCGTAAGAAATACGGTATATTTCTCGTTTACTTTGTATTACTGCTCCACAGCGCCACTATTGTATTAACCGCCAACATTCCTTTTTCCCCTTTTATGCTTACACCGCGGATATAGTCCAGGAATCAGTTTTATAACTTATAACCAAAATCTAACTGGTTATAATACCATTAACACGGTCTTTTATTGCTTGTGTACGTATTTTCTTAAGGAGACGGTTTTATGATTTTTTTATTCAGAAATCTGTATTGAAATCTTGTGAGTGTATTTTTTTTCTGCACTAAGGGGGATCCGGACTCACTGGACCCCTTTTATGGATCCGACTTTGCCTTTCAATATTAACTATATATTCTAAGAATGTTACTCTAAGAATGTAACTAAATTATACGCAGAATAAAGACCTAATTATTAAAGCTGCTGAATATTACTGCATGGATATGTTAACACAAGTGCATTTCAGACAGTGAATACATTTACATCTGTTTATTATACCTAAAAATTATGCTTTTGAAGTTGTGCACTTCAATGATTTTAAATACCCAAAAAAAGACTACAGATAATACACGATATTACAAACCGAAAGTACATGTGAGGGATTTTCCATCAAATAAAAATACTTTCTAAAGTCACCTTCAGAGTATACAGGTATGTTTTATATACTGTTATCAATTCTCTTGAATTAAAAAGTGATAGATACATCCTGTTGTCTTTCCATGGCCTTGTTTAAAGCTAAAAAATTCATTTCTGAAAAATTGACCCAGATAAACCATATTTTTTTCTTAATGTCAAGTTGTGATAAAGGAAAATGACACTATGATACAGATGTGTATAAAGTTTTATATCTCTTTTTCAGACTTTTGCTACTTAATATATATTATAATACATTGTAATGTATCACATACCTCGACTATCAGAGATGTTGTATGTGGGCCTGTGTAATGAGATAGGGAGTCCTTCAGAAGTGAGGTTCAGGAGAGAAGTTATGGACACTGTGGAGGTTGTGAAAAAACCTCTGTACATCATGAAGGGACTCTACACATTGAAGAGTGGGAGTCATCGTGATGGATTCAGACTGATAACTTCAGATGAAGATTGGATGTTATGGGCTCCAGAACACAAGGTAATCTGTGATCTCTCTCAGATCAGTCTTTATCGTATCCCACAGCACACTGTGATCCTGATGGAGTGTGATGATTTACCGCCGGGATTTACCAGACTAAATCTGTTAAGTCCATTAAATAATGCAAATACATGTATCATATCATCCTGTGTAGCTAAGAAGAAAGATATATATATTTCGAGTGCATTATTCCGCTTTAACAATTTACAATTCCTCCAGACCCGCCATGCCTTCTTTGCTTCATCGATTCCTCATGGGCCCTCATCAAATATCAAAGAACTAGATTATGAAGGCGATTATGTGTTCTGCTTTCGGTCACACCACCGGCCAACAATAGCTCTACCATGGATACAGAGATGCCGACAACAAGGCTGGCCGTCAGGGATTGTTGTATCGGATATAATAAGCGGAGGATTCCATGTTGTTCCTATCGGCAGCACACCTGAAAATGGGGAAGAATGGAGAATCTCATTCTCTCAAGCAGAACAGAAGCTTGTGTATTCAATGAATCACTGTCAGTTTTTGTGTTATGGTCTTTTTAAATTTTTCTTAAACGAAGTTATTAATTCTCAAAACAATAACCCGGTTCTTTGTTCATACTTCATCAAAACAGTTGTGTTTTGGGCAATTCAGAGTGATAATTCTTTGACTTGGAATCCAGATAACTTGTTGTCTCATTTCTGGAAATGCTTTAAATTATTGATATACTGGATACGAATCGGAGAATGTCCAAACTTTTTTATTCCAGAAAACAACATGTTTAGAGTGAAAGTCATCGGTTCTTTACAAACTTCATTGTTCAGTCAGCTGTATGATTTGTATTGAAAGGGGATACCATGTTTACTATTAAGTCGAACACTGAGACCTTACCTAAGTAAGGCCGTGTTATACAAAACGTTACTAATCTGTACGGACGAGAGCAGTATAATAAAAAGCACCAAGTTAGATATCAGCTTCTTTACAGAATTAAAATCATTTCAAACTGGTTGGAGTCTTGAGGAACCCATAGTATTTATGAGCCATGTAGAGAGATTAATAAGGGAAAGGCTAACACCGCATCAGGCAATTACGTTACAATGCATGACGTCAGACGAATTAAGGAACACTGCCCTGATGATACAGAATAGTAGAAATCCAAATAAAAATCGTACTGTTTATTACAATACTAGTAAAGTAGCAGCATTGTTAAAACTGTCGTGTACATTTGGATATGTGTCTGACATATTGTATCTTGCTATGTACTTCTACAGAACACGTAGATATAAACTTTCACTCAGTATTTTACAGAAAGCACAAGAGAAAATGTCTGTCCCTTTTATTGTGTATAGAGATAATGTAAATATAGATATGTACGAACACTACACCGCAGGGATGTCTCTGTATAACAAAATCAGGAGAGCTATAGTGGTTGACATTAATTTAGATTATGAATGCACTTATATTGATGAACTGGTATTAGAGCAGAAGATCAATAACAAGAATGGCAGGGGTATATTATTTATCCCACCTCTTGTGATGTTACACATGTTGTTAATACTGAATCACCACAGACTGGGTGACACAGTCAGGTCACAACAATCTCTACAGGATCTTCAGACTCTGCTGATATATGATGACGGAGGTAATGTACCTACTCACCTCAGAGACATTTCTTGGCATATATTGGGAATCTGCCAGCAAATCTGTGGGGATTATATAGGATCTCTGCATTCCTATCAATATTCATTACAACAATATCCCATTCACAAAATCCAGGAAGCAACTCTGTTAAGAATGAACACTTTTCCTTATAGGGCTATGCAGTACTGATTTGTTTAAATTAAAATGCCAATTGTTTATTGATTCTATTTTTGTCACTTGAAAAGAGTCTGAACAAGTTTTTGCAAATTCATTCTTATAACTTAGATTTTTTTTCAAATATTTAACGTTTCATTTGCTGTGTTTTTCTACTAAGCCAACTGTGAAATTGATTTGAATGTCATTGTCGTGTATACTCACGCATAGAAATATGCACGGAGAAACTTGCGCTAAAGTGACGTCACAATGAGCTACAGAGACGTTAATAAAAATGTAATTATATAGGGCAGCGAACAATTCAAACATTGAGTAGATTTTTGGTGCTTTTGAACATGAAAAATGTAAATATAAGGAATGTTTTTAAGTTATTTGTAACTTGTTTCTTTTTTTCGCATTTTATTTTTTATTGCTGATAGATTACTCCTATTATAACTTGAGTTTAATATATACCTTATTATGTACCCTTATAGTGGATGTTCTACACGTAATACTATATAGCAATGTACGTGATTTTAAACTTTTTTTTTTGAAAAAAATAATAATTTCAAGTCGACCTAAGTTAAGTTCCTCATATCATGAAAGTGGGACATTCAGTTTAAGGTACTAACTGATCAATACCCTTTTTTATTTTGTTTTATACCTGAGCAGAGATAATTTATTTTTTATATTTACATTTTATATCGTATTTCATTCTTATTTCAAATAATGTCTGACTTATAACTCAGAAAATAATAGAAATAAAATCTCAAGCTACCTTTCCTATTTATGGTATTTCCACACTTTTTCATTTATTCAACTTTGTACCCGATAGAAAACAAAACATCCGTGGAAGGATGTTTCTGAAAAGGTATAAATATAATATTGTTAGGTGGAATAAAAAAAAATCCTATCATGAGTTGATAATTTATTCTTTTTAGAAAGATTCCGTGACTAATTTCTTTTTCTTAATTTATGATGTTTTAATTATGTTTCTATATTAAATAGTTCCACTGATTCACAAAACTCAGGTTACAATTATTTGAAACTAACAATAAGTGAATATTTAATGCTGAACATATAAAAATTCCAGTCCTTTGAAAATATCAGCGAGCAATCAGCTATTTCCGCTACTTTCTTAGAATCCAACGAATTACACCTCCAAACTCGCTAAATGGTGACGTTGGTTTGATCTCATGCTAGTTTCGTTGTTGGATAAACATGGTTAGATTGTCATGTCGATGGCGGCCGATTTACAAGAAGGATTTTTAATATATTGATTATGATTGGTGTGCGAATAACTGGTGTAGGGAAACAAGATGCTCAAGGGCCTTGAATCGCTCTTCTGATAAATTGTATAACCTATCACCTGTCAATTTAGACAATTCCAAAAGTAGGCCATCATGATACATTTTGGTTATTCACTCTGAGAACCCAAGATGCATCAACTGACAAAGTTCAATGATTCCAAGCCCCTTATTATCTTAAATATTCAGATAAAGGCATGAGATTCCAAAATGTTACCTACTTTTTGGTACACATTCTCCGAGACCCCAAAATGCCACAACTGACAAAGTTTGATGATTTTAAGTGTCTTATTATTTGAAATATTTGGATATTGCCTTAAAATTCTGAAAGTAGGTCAGTGTGACCTACTTTTAAGGTGACACATTCTAAGGACTCAACTGACAAAGTTTGATGATTCTAAGCCAATTAGTACCTGCAATATTTAAATGTAGACCTTACCTCAGTATAAGGCTATCTAAATCAGAACATTGAGAGTCTGTACAGACGAGAGCAGTATCATAAAAAGCACAAAGTTAGAAATCAGTTTCTTTAAAGAATTAAAACCATTTGAAACTTGCTTGAGTTTTGAGAAATTCGCTGTTTACATGAATCAAATAGAGAGATTGATAAAAGAAAAGCTGGCACCGCATCAGGCAGTTTCATTACAATACATAACATCGGAAATATTAAGGAACCTTTCCCTTGCGATACAAAACAGTAGATATTCAAATAAAAACCGTACTGCGTACTGCAATACCAGAAAAGTAGCTGCAATTTTAAAACTGTCATGTACAATAGATTGTGTGTCAGACATTCTGTATCTTGCTATGTGCTTTTACAGAACATGTTGGTATGAACATTCACTCAGTTGTTTACAGAAAGCACAAGAGAGAATGTCTGTCCCTTTTATTGCGTATAATGGTAATTTAAATATAGATATGTACGAAAACTTCACGGCAGGGATGTCTTTGGATAATAAAATCAGGAGAGCTGTAATGTTTGACATTGTGTTAAACATTATATAATTAAATACACTTACATTGATGAACTAGAGTAAGAGAAGAAGATTAATAACAAGAATGGCAGAGTTTTATTATATAATCCGGCTTAAGTGATGTTACACATCCACATGACGGCGGATTATCAAGAAGAGTTTAAATATGTATTTTAATCGGTGTCCGTATAACTGGTATAGGAAAATAAAGGAAATCTTTACCAAGCTTGGTGCCGCAGTATTGTTTTGATCTGCAACACCTCATATATGTAAAACTTTCGAACATCGATTTTCGAGTCTCTTTACATCAAATGAAAATCCCTTCATAACTTATAAATAGATATAACCTTTAAGAGTTCATTCGAGTCAAAGAATATGACTTAAAATAAATAAGAAACTTCTCATTTAGCCCAGTTCCTATGTGGAATACTTCCACTGCACTGGGTAACCGGTAGACAGACTTGCGAAAAACCAGAACAGAGATTATGCTGCTTTTGTCACAACCAGTTACCCGAAACGGAGACACTTTTGTGTATGACTGTCCTTTTTACTGAACTGAATTTATTAATCTCTTCACAATTTTACAATTGTATACAGAGACATAAATGTAAACAATGATGACAAATAAAAACAAATTTTAGCATGCGTGAGTATGAGGATAGACAAATAGTACAATTAAAGATATAGTTCTTTACTAATTCGGGGAGCACGTTTTAGTAATTATTCTAATAAATGTACACAGTTTTCTTAAAAAGGATTTTTTTTTTCTGAATTCATTATTTCTCTGAATGAAATCGTATTCTTAAACCGTAATTGTTTTTGCGATAAACATTTATTTCTTTCGTGTATCACTGACATACAGTTTAATATGTAATGGAACTCATCGCCTATTTCATTTAAATTACATTTTTGACATAGTCTCGTTTCGTTTGGTTCATATAGCCAGCGTCCACTTTCAATCGGTAAATAATGATTGCAAGTGCGGAATTTGGCATCTTTTTGGCAATTAATGGCATCTTTTCGGGATAGAATATCCAAGTATTTTTCAAATTTTAATTCGTCTTTGTATATTCTGTAATTTAGAGTCTTTGGTGAAATATATGAAGATAACGAACAGTATTCAGGCTCAAAAGTCCATCAAACAATACAAAATAGGAGCAGAGCAAACACAGACCTCCAAACATCAGAGGTGGGATCAGGTGCCCTGGAGGAGTGAGCATCCCCTGCCGACCGGTCACAATCGCCGTGTGCTCCTTGACATGATCGGGAAATAACGGAAAAATCCGTCGACAATTCAGTGTGTAAATAATGGCCTAACAATTTGTATGAAAAACGTCAGTTTTGATAAGTTTGAACATCCAAATTCCATTCTTGTTTAAATTGATCAAGTAAAGTAAGTTTTACTTTCGATCTCAACCAATTTGGATTAAAGGTTTGACTTTGCCAAATATTTGAAAGTCCACAGTTGTTTAAAATATTCAAGACATTATTTAGCCAAGCAATCTTTGTCTTTTGATTTACGATATCACTTAAATTGAACATTAGGGTTGATATTTTTGTTTCCTTTCCAAGTTTAAGTTTGCACCAATGTGATATAATACGCGTTTGTATTTCAATGGACATTGGATGTCGACCGAGTTCACCATACACCATACAGTCCGGAGTAGATTGGTTAAGGTAAAGGAGTAATTTACAAAATATTAGATGTACTCTCTCTACAGTTGCATTGTTCGAAAATCCCCATACTTCACACCCGTACAGCAATATAGGC